GGAAAGGTAAAGAAAAAATGAGCAGTTTTTGTTCTCTCTGACGTTTTTCGCCCTCTTTAACCTAGTCCCACCACGGGGTTCAAATCCCCTTTTCTATCGCCCTCTCCTGAATTTCTCCCCACAAGGCCATTATCGGCGAGAGAATCTTTTGCTTTGGCATTGAAGATCCCAAAACCCTATGAAGGGAGAAAATTAGACACGTGTTCTTGCCATGACCTCCACGGTGGTTGCCCGGGGTCACCTGAGTTCAATGCAGTATTCCCATTCTCCTGAATGGGTTCGTTATTATTATAAATTATTGACCTGGAAAGAACCAAAGGTCTGGTTAGCGCTCGGCCAGAATCCGATCTCATAGAGAGTTCTGGGTAACGTGGAATATTTGCCACGAGGCAATTTCGTCTCTCAAGAGCTCGCGTTGATTCGTATTCGAGGAAGACATTTATGATGCTATTATTCTTAGATGCAGAACACCAATGCACGACGTTCGCCTAGCTATTCATGAATGTCACGAGACGGCGAAAAAACCTCTTGGACGCTTTTCCAGTTGATCAAGAACCCAGTTCAAAGAATTATTACAGTCTCCTCGGCCATAAATAGCCATTCAATACTTCCCATTAAGTTCTCCGTCAACACCTGACACTCATTCAATTAGCTGAAAGTTGTTGGTCCGGAAAGTACCTAATGGGTAAAGCAGGTGAATTTAGTGAACGGCTAACATACTCTGAAATGAGGTGATTAATAAGAGTGGCTAGGAAGAGCGGAAAAAGACACTTAGTCTCGATTGATTTCACGGACCTTTCTGATTACTGTGATTAGTGCATTTCAAAAGTCTTGCTGAGGAGTTTATTTAAGGCAAAATGCAAGGTGGAATGCGCCACGCTTCCGCCGTTTCCTGGAAATCGCAGATTGTTACCAGGGATTAATCCTTACCAGGGATTTCACGATGACCCACTATTTAAGCCAGGGTTCCATCTTCTTATACAAATCTAAGTTAACAGTTAGCCGATTTTCAGAAGAATGGGAGCTTGGTTGGTCTTAGCGGGGGGGGGGGTTCGACTCAGGGTCAACCGTGACGTTCGCACTTTTTCAAAAATTTCGCGACCCCTCCTTTAGGGGGGGTCTCGATGCGACCCCCACCACCACCATGAGACTCAGGAGGCTCCCCCAATACGATCCACCTTTCTCTCTACCTCCGACCCACCACCGCCATCATGGCTGTTTCTATAGTATTTGATTCTGAGACCAGTCGACACAGCCCAAGTCCGCCCCACTTCCCTCCAAAGCGGCCGTCGAGCGAGGGGGGGGGGCAGAAATAGTGCGAAGGAACAGTTTGACCCTGGTTCGACCCACACACAATGCAGTCCTTAGCTGCACCTGTTGCCACTGTGGTAAGCGGCACCCCGCGAATTCCATAACAGTCTTTAAAATCGTATAGTGAAAAAAGAACACTGGTTTTTCTCCCAAAGGGACAGCCGTCAACAGCGGGCGTTGTCTCGGCGTGTGATCCTCGAAAGGATTTTGTTAGGCACGATGAGCACGCGTCTCGAAAACCGAATTAGAAGAAGCGTAATTCAATTGAGAGCCACTCTCTGCTCATCACAACCACCCACCTGATATCCTTCTCATCTCCTTGGCTGTCTAATCGGCCTCTTTCCCCCACCCCAGCCTGGCACTCTTTCCCCTCCATCCACCCCAAAAGTAGCAGTTTCTGCTCCAGCGAGTCGGAAACGTACGTAAAATCTCCATTCGACATGAGCATAAGTATGCTTGTGAATAACATCGAAAACATGTCCGAAGGAGAGAATTGGCTGGAGTCTTGGGGGGGACCTTCTTGGGAGGCGTTATGAGGGATATTGGAGCTTTGACTATGCAGTTAAAAGGTATGCTGTCGTTAGTAATTGGTGAAAAGTGTAAAAGGAGGGGAGGCAACCTAGCGAAAGGGTCCTGTAACCCACACAGAATGCCATTCGGGTCAGCCATCTGTTAGAAGTTTATCAACAAGGAATTCACCAACGAGAGGGTAGTCTTTGTGCTTATGAAAGAGAGGGATAGTGGGGTTTGAGGTACTTTTAGTTGTGCAGGAAAAGGCACGTTGATAAATGTGCCGGTTGTCTTTCCTGTAGTTTCGGCAGCCCTCTGTGATCTGGGACAGGTGAGCGCCAGCCGACGAGTACTACGTCTTTCTCCCAGCCCAGCAGCACCAGTGGCCTCATTTTTATAGAATCAATGCTATTATTTTGTCCTACAGAGTTTGCTGACGAAATGCCTACATTCAAGGAAACTGGCACGGTTGCTTGGAGATGCTGTAAGGCCTAACTCAAAGCTTGTGATCAAAAATTGCTCAGGCCAATCAAATGTTCATAGAGTACTTCATTTCTGAAAAGCTCGCATAGGAAAGCAACTGAACATCCGTTGGTGTGTCGTTAGGTCTTTTCTTGTGCAGCTCGAAATCAGCGTGACGCCTCGGAAAATTGATTAAGGCTGAACCATTTAGACTTATAATCTTCTTGGAAAAAAATCAACTCAATTTTCCCTAATGATGCTTAGAATCCTCTCAGTGCGAACACTGCCATCCGTAAGGAGCTCTCTAATCAGAATTCCATTAAGAACTTCAGAGTGCAACGAGACGTCCCCTTTCAGGGACGGCCGAGATCGTCACGGCTCGTCTGTCTAAACCCAACCCGACTACGGTCAGGTGATAGAGACTAGATTGGTTGGACGCACATGATTCGAATTGCTCGTTGCCCATGGCATCCCAAGCGCGATTAACTCAAGACGTAGGCAAAAGCCGGGGGCAGGCAGTTGAGCAAGAAGAAGCCGTTTTACGAGGAATGAATGGAGGATGTCGGAGGGATGAACGGGTGTGATGATCGTCGATCAACTCGAACAAAAGCGATCAGGTGAGTGGTCTTTGAAATCGCTGGCACGAACTCGGCATAACTCACTTTCGTAACACTTTGATCTCATTCTCCAACGAGTCTTCTTTGCCTTTGAGCGCTTTCTTATCGATACATTTCACAGCCACCATATGTCCAGGCTCTTGCTTGCATTCGGCGAGAAAGACCTGAAATAAAACGTTTTGAGCAATAAATTATAGGAAAAGCCAATCAAATTAGCTGACTACTAGTCCTTGCCCCATCCCCATAGTGTTTAGAGAGCCCTCAGAAGGGAGTCATTAGGTTCACAAGCCCCAGAAGTCGCTAAGCTAATATACGGGTCTTGGCAGAGATTCAAAAAACGGCTTGGACCTTCGGAGAAATTGAAACAACCCGTGGAATTGGCTAAAAGCCAAATCTGATCGGACGACGTGGGTTCAAGAATTAAAAGGTTTCTGCTGGGATTAAGAAGTGTTCGAAAGCTGATGAGAAGAATGACGAAGCCAGTGCTCGGAAATTTTCCTGCAGCTCTCATCCTGCAGGGAGTAACTCACTGGAAGGAGAGATCTTGGAGGTGAGGAGGGAGAGGATTTAAGTTAGATCGTATTGAAAGATGCTGAGAGCGGGAGGGAGAGCTACTGGCATGAATTGATTAAAGGCAGATGACTTTTGGAGTGCCCTCATAGAGACTCCTCTTTAGAAGGTAACCAATTAAAGAAATTAGGTATCATTAACCAAGAACCAAAAGCAGTTGGATGGAGTAAGCGATTACCGTACCTTAGAGAAGGCTCCGGTGCCGAGAACATCGCGGAATTCATAGCGCTCACGGATGGAGCAACCTTCGCGGCGCTTGAACAACGGCATCTGAGCACAGACATCGATTTCCATCCACCGCAGCCACTCGGCTGGCTGCTCGACGGCCTCCACATCACGCTGGCCGTTGCCGCCGCCGCCGGCTCGTCACACTCCGGCTCACTTGCGCTTATCACTCACTCACTTACACACATGCACCCTGGCGGACGACGTCCCGAGGCCTCACGTTGGCCTTATAAGCTGGTGAGAGCAATGATATCTGCTCCGTTGAAAGGGTTCCACCGTAAGTCTTGGGTTAGGACAGCACACCACGGAAAGACTAGAAGCCTGATTAACCAAGCGAGATCGGGGTCTTGATCATGCCATGCGCCTGGTAAAACCCTCCTCCTACTGCTGCACCATCTCCGTCAGCTATGCATTTAGGCTGAGAATAAGGCAGGTTTCAGCTACATTAGCTGCTGGTGAGTGACCAGCATTTCCCTGAATTTCCTTGAAAGCAAAATGAAATTCGGGTAGAGATATGGAGGTGAAGCCTTCAGGATCAAAGAAGCTTTTTTCGCCATTTTTCTGAAAAAATTATTTCCATGTCTTTGTAGATCACGTAAGGATGCGCCGCGCCCGCGATCACGTTTACGTATTTTGGAAGTGAGTAGGTTCGACGCAATCAATCAAAAATTAGCGATTGCTCGCTAAGAGCCTTCTGGAGCCAACTTAGTTGCGCTACTTCGTATGGAAGGGCGAGATGCTATCGGACTTTGCAGTAGCGAGTTTGAAGAACACCGGTAGCTTTTGAAGGATTCCAAGACATGGCCTACTTTCACGTTCATTGGAGTGTAGAGTAGAGGAAAAAGTAGAGTCAGTATCTAAGCCTATTACATAAGTTTTTAACCAAAGCAGTCTTACGAAGATGGATGAGTGAATTTACGTAAGAGGTTTTGGATCCAACATGCAGCATAAGGACGAGGACGAGCAGAGCGCCTCCATTGCTAACTTTGGTCTGCACCAGGAGAGGGGAAAATCATAAAATAAACTTCAACCAACTCATGCATAGACGGCGGACTTAGAAGGTTAGATATAAGTGGATCGTACATGAGTCGACTGAGACATCCGTTCTTTCAGTCATGCCACAGCCAGCTGTTTACGTCGTCGTGATTCTAGCTGCCTTAGCCCTCGTGCTATAGTGTTGTTTATGTGTGCGATGTTTGCGCTCACAGGAGAGCCATGCTGAAAGATTTAATGGGCATGTTCTTTATTATAACGGTTTCCAGATGTCGTAGGGTTTTATGAACTCGATGTTAGATTTCGTAATCAACAACAGTATGCGTAGGAGGCTATGCAGTATGATGAGTGGTACGTGACGTCCCGGTAGGAAGACTTTCAGGGGTCCCACACGGAAAACATGCTGAAGTTATTTTTAAATAATTATTTCCGATATAGTGCAAGGAATAGCTTATTTCTTTTTATTTTTCTAAACGGTACAGAAATGCTTTAAGGTTTAGGGAGTCAGAGGCAATTTTTTTGCAATGTGGGCTTGGGTGCCAGGGGATTTTCAGCTTTTTTTTGGCCCAGTTGCTGGGAGAACTATGAAAAGTTTTCGGGGGTTTTATGGATTATGTGAGAATTGGAGGGCTGTCTTCTACATCTGCGAATCCAAGTGCTTGGGAACGGAATGGGAATTCTTCTATGACAGACCTTTAATACCTTTCTTGGCATAATCGTGGTGTAGGATGCCTTACAGCTATGGAGAAATATGTGGTGGCGTCAGTTATGCTTAGAGATATCATTTCTTTAGGAGAACGGTTGCCAAGGTTATGTGTAGAAGCGGAGCGAAATAGAGTTCATGCACTTAGGGGTGTTCTTTTCTTGCAAAATTGAAAATTGTGAAGCGCAGACCTGGTGTATCACTTCGTTGCCACTTTTGGGTAACATCCGGCGCTAAAAGCTTGTAACGGTCTAGTTGGTTTGATTGGTGACGAGGGATTTCCGTGATTTTGTAAGCGACTCATTTAGTTGAGATGCCCTAGGTCGTTATCGGCGTGGTTATATACGAGTGTAATGTTTATAGTATTGCAAACACGAACTTTGAAGTTGTGGTCTGGAAATCTGGCCGGGTGGTTCGACTTTTGTTGAAGACATTGAATACTTTACAAGTCTAGATTGAATAAGCAAATGTACATTAATATGCGAATGCGTGTCTTTCGATTTGTCTGGTGCCATTGTTATACTCAAAATTCCTCTGAAAGGATCAGCGTGGTTAAGTAACTTTAGTCGGCGGTCAGTGTACATTTTTGTGACTCTTGTACTCGTATATGTTTAAAAATAAGTTAAAGGCGGAAGTGGTGTAGTGACAAGTGGCGCGCTCACCACGCGAGCGGTCCGGGATCAAATCCTGGGTCGTGAGTCGCCCGGGCCAACCAAGCCTTCCATCCCTCCGGGGTCGGTTAATTGGTACCAGACTTGTCTGGGAGGATAAAACACTGACTTGAACATCGGCTGGCCCCCGCAAGTCATTGTATAGGCCACATCGCATTCAAATGCCACTGCGAATGTACAAATGGAAGTAGAATGCGTGCCTCCAAACGGTTGTGTATCGAACGGCAAATGTTTTATCTTTACTTTATTCTTAAGTTGAATTGTGTTTTTGAATTTTTGAGTTTTACGGATTCATGATAGTCAGGAAAAAAGTCTCTAGCTGACCACTGGTCTGATCTAGGTTGGTCGGGTGGTGTAACGGTGAGGACGGGAAACTTTTGCATTTTTCATGGCTCCACATACGAGCCCAGGAAGTTTTTGTATTCGGTTATTTCGTTGATCTGCGTCCCCACTCAACACCTTTGGGAGGCGGACCCTGAAATTTCCTTCTCCTGCTTCTTCTTAAGTTTTTTTTACTATGATGAACGACACACAAAACAAAACACAGTGGATACAGGCTCTTACCTACGAAATTTCAACATCTTACGAGCACATGTGGTAGTTCCTCACAAGTGATCAAAACAAAACAGCTTTTCGCAGTGTGCACAGTGAATAAAGAAAGACACTAGAGAAAGTAGAGGGCGCCACAGTGAGAAAGCCACAGTGAGAAGAATCCCTCGTAACTTCTTTCAGAGAATCGTTCCGCAGATACGAGAACGGATTTGAGCTCAGCGTCGCAAGACGAGCATCGGACTACACCTCATTACAAATGGCCGGACTGACCAATTGAGCATTCCCAGTCAGAATTGAATACTACATGATGGCGGGGTAGGGAGAGGGAGAGTCATATCGCGGAAGCTTCCTAGGTCTCGTTCGTGGTGGTGTTGGAGTCGCATCGAGACCTCTTCAAAGGGAGGGTCGCGATATTCTTGAAAAAGATTGACTCTGATCGTGGGACAGACGGCGCCCTAAGGGTGAGGGACAATACGCGTTTGCTGCGGACTAGCAGGGTGATACCCGCACTGCTTCCGCCGCGGCACGCCCACCCTATCGCCGTCTGACCCGCGGACCTGATTTCAGCAATGAGAAGTTCAGCATAGAAAAGGGTAGGGTAAACGGAAATCAGTGGGCAAGTGAGGGGACCCATTTCTCGAATTGTGCCGTTTTTCAGAGTATTTTTCTTGATTCCATCGATCCCCTCTACATGAGTTCTGAATGCCTACTTTTTCATGATGAATTTCGCTTCTGAATGTTGCTCACACATGACTTCATGAAAAGGTCACAATAGCCACGCTTTATCAAAATGCAGTTCATTGTTGAAAATGATATCAAAAAAGCCGTTATTAACTAGTCTTTAAAACAGGTCATTCAATCCCCAATTGCTCATTGCTGCTTCCAGATCTATATAATACATACAACAGGTCATTAAAACACAGGTCACTGGAATGCACAATTTTTTGCTATTGATTTGCTGCTCTCAGATCTGACAACAGTAGAATATTTCGATTACGAGTCAAGGAATGCTTCGCACAACAAGTTTCTCCAATCTAACCAGGAAGGATGATTGGTCGAAGTGGCCATATGTAAAGAGACCTACACTGGATTTGTTTGGACGCTGATCTCGAATCTGCTTCCAAATCTGCCAAACGATTTTCTGAACGGAGTTATGAAGCAAAATAGAGCAGCGGTAGTGGTCCGGGCCACGGGCGAGAGGTCGTAGGATCGATTCCCTGAAGGGTGATTTGGCTACAAATTTTCACTCAGACGTATCTTCATTTCAGAAACTCAAGAATCAAAACTGTTGGCGGCAGAAAGTATGTAAAGAGTTCTGCGGGCTTCATGTGCAGTCGTTAGCAAGTAGCACCCAAACGTGTTACGAACTCCTCACAAACACTTTGTACGGGTACCTATGGGCAAGGTTGATCATGTACATAAGGCCATCTTTCCGCGAAGGCAAAATGGCGAACTCGCCAGGGAATCGATCCTGCGACTTCTCGTACGCAAGCCCAAACCACTACCGCTGCTCTATTTTGCATAATAAACCTGCTCACAGAAAGGCCTGAAATTGGTACGGAGATTCGAGCTCACAAAAACACCATCAGTGCAGCTCACTGCATATCGACTTTGACCTATCACTTTTTCCTGGTCTGTAAAATCAAAAAATGATTTGATATGAAAAT